GCGAGCAGCAAAGTCGACGAGCTCAGCGACAAGAGCAGACGCAGCAGCGGACTCAAAAGAGGGGTCGGTGACGACAGTAGCAAGCAGACGCGTGACAGTAGGACTGGCAGCACGAAGGGAGTCCGACTTTGGGTCGGTAAGCACAGGAAGGGAGGACTCAGAAGGAGAAGGCAAAAGGGCACGCAGAGGAGCAGTGGACGGACGCAGAGACATCCGGTGCGTGCCAGGGACACGAGGAGGACGCGGACGCGAACCACGACCACTAGCGCGGGCAGCACGAACAGGCGACGCGGGACGAGACGCAGGCTCACGACGCTTAGTAAGACCTCCAGTAGGACCAGTGTAAGGAGAGGGAGCAGGCAGTGGGGAGGTAGGCTCCAACAGTGACTGCGACTGGACAGGCTGTGGACACTCTACCAGAGGAGAAAGACAGAGAACCTGCTGCAGAAGCGGAACGAAGTACGGCCGAGGCCGCGCGGCAGCTCCAGACTCAGCAGGGACAGCACCAGCACCCTCAGCGGCAGCACCAGCGCCACCAACACCTCCAGCGGCAGTACCTCCAGCAGCACCAGCAGCAGAACCACCGTCAGGACAGACAGCAGCAGACTCAGCACCAACGCCCTCAGCAGCCCCAGCTCCAGTAGGACCCGCAGGCGTAGCACCTCGGGGACCGGCGGCACCAGCACCCTCGACGGTCGGAGAAGCTCCAGCTCCAGCAGTACGCCTCCAGCGGCGAGCAAACCACTCGCGCAGCTCCTGTGGAGAGAGGGGCTCCCGCCGAGACGCAGCACCAGGAGAAACCCCAGGCTTAGCGGCTCCAGACGTAGCACCCCCAGGCTCAGCAGCTCCAGACGTAGCACCCCCAGGCTCAGCAGCTCCAGACTCGGCACCCCCAGGCTCAGTTGCTCCAGACTCAGCACCCCCAGGCTCAGCAACTCCAGCTCCAGTAGGACTCGCAGGCCCAGCAGCTCCGGGACCGGCAGCACCAGCACCCTCAGCAGTCGAAGGAGCTCCAGCTCAAGCAGCACGCCTCCAGCGGCGAGCAAACCACTCGCGCAGCTCCTGTGGAGAGAGCGGCTCCCGCCGAGACGGAGCAACCGGAGAGCCCCCAGGTCCAGCAGTCGCAGGCTCCGCACCTCCAGGCTCAGCACCCCCAGGCTCAGCAGCTCCTGACGTAGCACCTAGCAGACAAGTCGTGGACAAACGCCCGAGATCCCCAGACACGGAACGCAGACGCATCGCCGACCTTCCCCGTCCATAGTAACACTGGGGACATCGCGGGCCGAGAGACCCTGGGGTGAAGGTTGAGCTGATGCGCCGCGTACCGAACCGCAAACGGCCACAGAAAATGGGGGGCAGCCGCATGCATCATGGACGTACGAGCGACATCCATGACCATGCCAATGCGGCGCTCAGCAATCCCATTTTGCTGTGGAGAGTCCGGAAGCGTAAAGGTCTGGCGGATCCCCTGTGCACGACAGTAGTCTCGCAGAAGGCGAGAGGAGAACTCCCCACCTCGGTCAGAGTGCAGACGCAGAACAGGAAAGTCCGAGCCGAAGCTCCTCCTGAGCTGGAGACGAGCCTCGCGGATCCAGTCAATCAACACCTCAGTGACAGCACCCTTGCTGCTCAAGGGGAAGAGTGTGGTGTAACGCGAGTAGTCGTCAACCACCAACAGGAAGTAGCGCTCGTGACCCTGCCCACCGACGGGGGCCGGGCCCCACACGTCCATGTGAAGTGTCTGCAGAGGAGCCTCTGTCGGGGGAAACTGGGAGGAGTGAGGAGCAGCCCTGAGGCGCCCCTCGACACAGGGGACACAGAAAGGTCCTGGTCCCGAAGGAAGGGGAGGGAGAGACTGGGGAAGACCAGAGACAAGGACACGGGAAGCCATGCCCCGAAGGCGGGGCAAGGAGGGGTGGCCAAGACGGTGGTGCCACAGGAGAGTCTCGTGAGACAGGAGGCGACACGAACAGGGGGCAGACTCAGGACCAGACCTGGACGCAGCAGCAAACACCTGACCTGACGCTGCTACCTGACCGGACGCAGGGACAGGAGGAGACTCAGTGGTCAGGGTGTAGAGGCTCGACCCCGGCCGACGCGAGAACGTGGCCAGGTGCCGGCCTGTGCGTGCGTCCGTGCAGTGGGTCACCCGCTGACTCGCAGGAGTGAACTGGTGAACCCCCGCATCCTGCAGGTCTGCACCACTCACCAAGTTCGTCGAGAACGAGGGGAGGTACAGGCCAGACAGGGTGCCCGAGGGGGCAGCCGGACACGGGAGGACAGTGGAGAAGTGAGCGAGGACAGGACCCCCAGAGGGGTCAGCCAGGGAGACTGCAACCGGCCGACCAAGCGGCGTGAGTGTGGTGCGGTCCCGAAAGAAGGAGCGAGAAGCCCCAGAGTCAAGTGTAAAGGTGAGGGAGGCCGAAGCCAACGCGGTACCTGAGAGCGCAGCCTCACCCGCACCTGAGGAAGCAGACTCACTAGCACCTAGAGCAGCAGCCGCACCTGTACCTGGAGCAGGAGACTCACTAGCACCCAGAGCAGCAGCAGCCTCACCAGTAGCTAGAGCAGCAGGTCCTATACCCGGGTCAGGCGGGACGCACAGGTGACCGGCACGGTCAGCACTAGTAGGCAATGCATACATGGCAGTGAGAATAGCATCATAGTCAAGAGCAAATATATCTACCCCATGCCTAAGCAACTCCACCCAGTCGGGGAGCTCAGCCTCGTCGCCAAACACGGTACGCCAGGCGTCGCTCAGACGGGCGAAGCAGCGGGACTGTGTATGACTAGGTGTCCCACAAGGCTGACCAGTCCGAGCACCAGTGAGAATCACGTAAGAGCAGCGAACGGAACTGAGAGACCCTCCACTCTGAGCATACCACTCACGAAGGTGCTGAGGCGTGAGAGACGCGCGGGGGGGTCGCGGGAGCTGCATCTGGCCGCCACCAGTAGTAGAAGCAGCAGGAGTGGTAGCAGTAGTAGCGCCACCACCCCTACAGCCCCAACCAGCGTACCACTCACGCAGCTGCTGGGGCGTGAGGGACTCACGCAGACGTCGATGGGGCTGAATCTGGCTCCACCAGTAGAGGCAGGAGCAGGAGTAGCAGCAGTAAGGCAGGCAGCCAGGCAAGCCAAAAAGGGAGGCAGGCAGGCAAGCAGGCGACGCGCAGCGTGCTAGCAGGGCAGGGGCTCACCAGTGGTGGGTAGAGTAGGCTCGGCGACTCAGCGGCTCGGCAGCACGGCGGCTTTGCGGCTCGGGCGACTCGGGCGGCTCGGCGGCAGGGCGGCTCGGCAGCAACTGCAGCTCGGCAGCTCGGCGACCCGGCGGCGCGGCTGCTGGGAGGCTCGGGTGTAGAGCGGCTCGGCTGCAGGGCGGCGCGGCTGCTGGGAGGCTCGGTGTAGAGCGGCTCGGCGGCGAGGCAGCTCGGCTGCAGGGCAGCTCGAGAAGGAGGAGGAGAAGCAGGGGAGACCACACACCTGCCACCCCTCAGCTGGCTCCTAAGGTCGCCTCGAAAGGCGACGGGAAAAGGGGGGGGGGGGAGGCGGCTCGGGCGGCTCGGGCGGCTCAGGCTGCACGGCGGCTAACGGGCGGCGTGGGGGGGGGCCGGGACGGCGGCGTGCAGCAGGGACGGGCGGCGCACGGGCGGTGTGAGGCCGGGACGGGGAGGGGCCAGGACGGGTGGCGTCCTGGCGCCAAGGGGCCGAGACAGGAGAGCGCGGCCGGGGCGGGCGGCACAGGGCGGCCTGGGGCCGGGTCGGGCGGCGCGCGGGCGGTGAGGGGCCGGGACGGGCGCGCGCGGGTGGCTAGGGGCCGGGACGGGTGCGCGCGGGTGGCTAGGGGCCGGGACGGGCGCGCGCGGGTGGCTAGGGGCCGAGACGGGCGGCGCGCGGGCGGCTAGGGGCCTGAACGGGCGGCGCGCGAGCGGCTAGGGGCCGGGACGGGCGGCGCGCGGGCGGCTAGGAGCCTGAACGGGCGGCGCGCGAGCGGCTAGGGGCCGGGACGGGCGGCGCGCGGGCGGCTAGGGGCCTGAACGGGCGGCGCGCGAGCGGCTAGGGGCCGGGACGGGCGGCGCGCGGGCGGCTAGGGGCCTGAACGGGCGGCGCGCGAGCGGCTAGAGGCCGGGACGGGCGGCGCGCGGGCGGCTAAGGGCCGGGACAGGCGGCGCGCGGGCGGCTAGGGGCGTGAACGGGCGCGCGCGGGCGGCTAGGGGGCCGCAGGGCAGGCCGAAAGAGTGAGAGCGAGGGCCCGGAGCGCGCTCCGGGCAGAAAAAAAAAAAAAAATTAAGTGGTGGGCCCTAAGTACAGTTCCCACGGGGAACCTGCTCGATACCATGTGGAAAATAGAACGAGAATAAATGCACTATGAAAGAGTTGGGTACAAATAGCAAAACCCTAATTGGGTTGTACCCCCTATGGGATACCCCACTGTAGCCTACACAACAGCATAAGCTACATATATGTTCTGACAGGTTCGTCACAGCAGATTCGCCCTAACAGCAAATTCGACCTTGCACAGTCGTTACGCGCTGTCGCAGCACAGCAAATTCGCCCAATCACAGCAGATTTGCCCTGACACTGCAGCAGATTCGCCCCTCACACAAGAGATTTGCCCTGTCAGAGCATGTTTCGCCAGAAATCCCCTTGGTGCACGGTGACGGCGGGCCAAAACAAGGAGTTATCGGTTTCAGGATAGACCCCGATACAACACTGACTCGTCAGTGTCCTCAAACACAAAACACTGGAAAATCAGAGTTCGAAATTAAAAAACACTGAAACATCAGGGTCGTTGAAAAAAAAAGGCTGATGCATCAGAGTCATGATAAAAAACGGGGGTCAAACTTCAGGAATTCAGGGTAAAATTCCTGACATCTGAGGCCCTGGAATACGGTATTTTCCCCACTTCGGTATGTTGATTTAGGCCGATCCTCCTACCTTTCTACTGATTTGCCGACTACACATATTGGTATTTTATGATACAATGAGATTCTGATAAATCCCTACAGCATCTTGCATATTCTCTTGGTACATTCTGACACAGCCCCACAAATATCATGAGCAGTAGCGCAATCCCATACGTGAGCCTTCTTTCGCCATCGCTCCCATTCCTCTTCACATACTAACTCCCCGCTCAACCGCGATGCATAGTCCAGGGTGCTTTTCTCCTCCGCTGCTGCACCTTCAAGGAAGATATGCTGCCAGCCTGGCTCGTACCCTCGCCATGGGTTGCACCTCTCCTCCACGGGCATGGGATGGCAGGGCCGACACGAGATCCCATCAGCAGCACTCTCGGAACGAAGAGGAGCAAAGACATAGCCGTTGAAGAGCTTCCGGCGAAAGGACAGCACACAGAAGGGCAGGGGAGAGGGCGTGGCTGCTATGCCTTGCAGCCGCAACTGGTGCTGAAGGGCTTTCTCCCCATTTAGCTGGGATAGGTTGGCCTGTGCTAGCTGGTGGAGGGACGACAGGCTGTGTGATGGTTCAGCAGTGAGGGTGGGTGAAGGGGGATTGGGGGGCCGGACGTGGGGTGGCGCAGTGTAAAAATGGTGAATGGGAGAGAGACGGGGCTTGTAAGGCTAGTGGCTGCACCGAACTATGTAATTGCTGATTCCCCGCACGCCCACCACACCGCACCTGAACACACGCTGACACACCCAGATGCATGAAACGACCAACCTCACCGTTTCAAAGCACCCAATGCTATGTCCCGCCGCGCCATGCCGAAGCGGTCGTTGAGACCACCCCACGGACTGCCACGTGGCACAACATAGGCCGTGGGATCAAGCGAATCCAATGGTGGAGGAGGAGCGGTCCAGTACGTGTCAAGTCTTGTCCAAAGAACCCATGTGTACTTGAACTGATGATAGTGCTCGAATGAAGTAATGGCTGCAACGCATTGCTCCACTTTGAGAAACTGATGCAGCTGGCCCTGTTATGGGGAATTGGAATTATACAACAGAGCAAGATCCGGCACAAAGATAAAAGATACAGTTGCACTTGAAACAGAGCAATGACGGTTACAAAAGAAGGGAGATTCGCATGGTTGATATTGAGTTTACTGGGCATGCTGAAAGTGGGAGTAGTACCCCGTGCACGCACATCCAGCCTCTGCGCCTAAACCAAGAAAATGGAATATCACGCGAATTTCAGAATGCCCATGTTGCTAGCGTTGTCACCATAGTTGCATGTAAAATCCCACATCCACATGGGTATATGTCCGCATGCGCCCACACGCGCACGCGCACACAAGCACACCTGAAGTGCATGCAAGGCCACATCTCACCCACCCCACACCCACCTGGACACTGGGCACGGCCAGGACGTGCGTGGGGAAGCGACTCTCATTGATCCGCACTTGCTGCCTCACGAACACAGACACCACAGCGGGATGGGCCGCCAGCAGCGCGAGCTTCTTGGCATCCCCATCCAGAGACGCGATGATGAACGCGTGCGAGCCCGGGTACGCTGATAGGACGTGCCTGGAGAGAGGGTAATGGGAAGTCGGGGGTTTTCAGTCGACTTATAGATCAGAGCGGGCTACTTGGCGTCCCCATCCAGAGTCACGACGATGAACGCATGTGATGCTGGGTCTGCTGATAGGAGGTGCCTGGAGAGAGGGATACGAGGAGGCGGGGAGTGATTGTGTGGTGGACTGGGCTGCTTTTGAGATGATTCAAGATGTATGTGTGAGAGAGCGGGGATGCTGGAAGGACGTACTTGAAAAGGGAGAGGAGGGCAGGCGGATGGACGTGCGTGGGCAGCGGGGGAGGGCTGTAAGTGCGGGAGAATTTGACACAAACTGGACGGCAATGGCTGCTGCGGAAGCATAGTGGAAAGAAGTGGGGGCGTGAGGGATGACGGCAAGCCTGCCGAGGTGATACAGACACGTGAGGATGAAGTGGCGGACGGAGCAGGTGACCAGGATGGCGGAAGATATTGACAGGACGAGACGTACGGGGGTGTGGGAATACGTGTAGAAGAGGGGGCTTCGTGTTGCACTGTTGCAATTGCAAATATGATTCGGTGAGATATGTGAGCTGTAGGTGCAGGGATGTGCGACTGACGCCAACTAGAGAAGAAGGTGCGAGCAAGGCGAAAGGAGCAAGTGGAGCACGAGAGTGAGCGAGAAGGAGAGGACTCCGTTGCCTTACCTCTTGAGAGATGACGCTGTGAGCTCAAAGTGACGGGCCCCGCCAATGAGACAGATCGCCACGCGTGGCTGCACGGCTCTCACCTGTTGCCACGTGTCAACGGGAACGAAACAAACGTAGTATAAAATAATAATCAACGCCACGAACACGATATTACGTAATAAAAGCTCCGGGTATGTGTGAGGCGTTTGCACAGCATTAGGTGATAGAGTCCGAAGGGGGAGTCGCTGATGAGTAAAGGGACCCGAATGGTGTGCTTCACCTTCACGCAGGCTTCTGCGAGAAACGAGAGCGCCATGAGCAATCTGAAACTGGGGATTAGGGTCAGCCATCTGGCACGGGGTATGCACATGTGGCTCGACGATCCGCGCATCGTCCCTGGATCAAACAATGGACGACGCTAACTCCCATGGCTCGGTTTAATTCAGCAAGTACCGAGCAAGTCCACGCGAATCCAGCAACACACGCAGCACATGCCGTTATGCGCCACGGATCATGGTGATGGGGGTTACCACGGAGCACACTTTGAAGTCAACCACGTGATTTTGATTCAACAGTTGTGTTCGTGTGACACAGACAGCCATAGTCACATGAAGGTGCGTTGTGGCTCGTGACATGAGCCAATTTCATCAGACTCCTCACTTGCAACCCTCTCCAACGAGCTGCACCATACTGAATCCGCTTTGTCAGATACCCGATACAACCACTTAGAGGAAAACCTACATGTATCATGGAGGGACTAAATATCAAGAAACGCATGTTGGCTGCACAAAAGTTATCATTGCCGAATGATTTGACGCGATTCAAGTATTAAAATGAGATATTAGTTCAAGAGAAATTAGTAAAAAACAATCTCACGGTGTTGTATGAGGGGCATACAGCTACTATGGATCCTAACAGCATCATTTGACCAAGCACAGGCCTCGACCATGACAGCCTCACCATCATCTCCCGTGTCCTCACTGTCAAAACTGCATGTTTGTGTGTTATCTCTAGGCTATAGTGGGGTAGCCTACAAGGGGTATAACCCATTAGGGCTAGTAGTTGTACCAAACATTCTCATAGTTCATTCATTCATGCTCGCTAGATTCTGACGTGGTTTCAGAGCACGTAGGTCCCTAGAATCGAATGATTTTTTTTAGGGCCCACCGTTCATTCGATTCTGCCCGTTTTTCTGCCCTGCCCCTCGCGATTGCGACCCGGCCGCCTGCTAGAGCTGCCCTGCCCCACGCTGGAGCACCTACCATGTCTCACGCGCTGCCCTGTTAACAGGAATAGAGTGTTGGCCCCGCCCTCGCTTGGGCAACGCCGACGACATGGTCGGATGTACGGGAGTAGCAGCTGACCGCTCACTGTGGGAGAGCTGCTCGACAGGCATCGTCGAGCTGCAGGGAACCGCTGTGGTGCTGCTGTCGACCAGGGAGCTCAATAGCTGCAACTGACTGGTCTGGGCGACGGATGGGACGTCGACTAGGAGGGGCAGTTTGACCAGGAGGCCTCCGTCGACCTGCAGCTCGACCGGGGGGGCTCCATCGACCTGCAGCTCGACCGGGAGGTCTCCGTCGACCTGCAGCTCGACCGGGAGGTCTTCGTCGACCTGCAGCTCAACCAGGGGGTCCCCGTCGACCTGCAGCTCGACCAGGGGGTCCCTGTCGACCTGCAGCTCGACCGGGAGCAGTCCGTCGATCTGACAAGTGAGCAGCGGTCGAAGAGGGGAGCTCGGCGACAACCGCTGACGGTTCTGGTCGACGGAAGGGGTCTGTCGACCAGGGGGTAACTCGACGGGAGTTGTGGTCAACCAGATGCACCTGGTGGTCGACCAGAGGGACCCGGTGGTCGACTAGAAGCACCTGGGGGTCGACCAGAGCATCTGAGGGTTGACCAGGTCGACCGGGTAACCTGCTCGACCAGTTATGCGGAGGCATGCAAACATCGTCGAGGTCGCGATGGCGCAAGCGACTTCGGGATGGTATCCCGAAGTCGATGTGGCTCGTCAGGCGCAGACAATAGCCGACCGATGCCCAACGAGGCAAGTCGGGCCAATCGTCTGCGCACACCTGCGAGAGTGCGCATTGTTGTGTTCTACGGGGCAGCGCTGGACAGCCGCTCTGCTGCAGCGTTGGCACGCCGTCGACCTGCTCTATTGGCAGGTCGCCCTTTTGCAGTGCTGGTGCGGCTCCTCTACGCAACGCTGGCAGGTGGTCAACCAAGATGTGCTGGCGGTCGACCAGGCTAGCTGAAGGGTTGCTAGGTGCCTGATGTAGTCATTGTTGCCATCTCTTGTGGAATGATTATGGAATTCCAACTTTGCTAGTGAAAACTCTTGCCGATTTCTCCCGTGAATGTGCAAGCACTAAGGAACCAAGCAAAGTTACGATCACCTCTAGTAGTTCGTGCCAACCCCCGTAGTCTAGCTCAGTACTGTTGTAGAGTGATTCTCCGCATGCCCCACACGCTGCAAGCGCGCTGCCCTAGGCGCGACCCGCGCGCGCAGCTGTCTGCGCTGCCCGCGACATACCTTGTGCGCGATCAGCCGGCAAGAAGCAGTGGCTTCACCAGCAGTCCTACATCGATAAGCTTTGTCGGCGGTTCATCGACGAGGAGCAGGCCGGTCGCTTGCCGAAGACGACGGTCTCCGTCGACACCTACGCAGAGCTGGCGTTCGAGGAGGAGGAGGAGGCGCAGTCGCCCGAAGAGGAGGAGCACTGGCAGAAGGTGGGCTTGCTGCAATTCACAGCGACGACGACGAGGCCAGACATTGTCTTTGCGTGCAGCAAGCTGGGGAGTGGCCTGACAGTGAGGAGCGACAACTACTGGTATGAGGTCGACCGCCGTCTACACTACCTTGCCGACACCCGTGAGACAGCCCTGGAGTTTGGCAGTAGATAAGAGTCGCTTTGTCTGGTCGGCTATGCGGGCGCCGACGTCGCTGGCAGCAAGCAGAACCAAAGCAGCACGAACAGCTACGCATTCGTCTTAGGTGGGGCTGCCGTTTCCTGGGCGAGTCAGCGCATCAAGTGCAAGTCGCTCTTGTTGACCAAGTCGAAGTACTTCGCGGCCAAAGAAGCCGGCAAGGAGGCCCGCCGATTACGCTTCCTTCTTGTCGAGTTCTAGGTGCTCGACGCTGAGAAGCCTGCGGAGATTCACTCTACAACGGCAGTGAGCTAGACTACAGGGTTGGCACGAACTACTAGAGGTGATCTCAGCTTTGCTTGGTTCCTTAGTGCTTGCACATTCACAGGAGAAATTGGCAAGAGTTTCCACTAGCAAAGTTGGAATTACAGAATTGAATAAAAGAAGCAATGACAACAATGACTACATCAGGCACCTAGCAACCCTGCAGCTAGCCTGGTCGACTGCCAGCGCAGCTCAGTCGACCGCCTGCCAGCATTGCGTAGAGGAGCCACGCCAGCACTGCAGAAGGGCGACCTGCCAACAAAGCAGGTCGACGGCGTGCCCCGTAGAACACAGCAGTGCGCGCGCTCGCAGGTGTGCGCAGACGATTGGTCCGACTTGCCTCGTTGGGCATCCGTCGGCTGTTGTCTGCGCCTGACGAGCCACATCGACTTCGGGATACCAGCCCGAAGTCGCCTGCGCCATCGCGATCTCGACGGCATTCGCGTGCCTCCGCAGAACTCGTCGAGCAGGTTACCCGGTCGACCTGGTCGACCCCTGGTGCTCTGGTCGACTCCCAGGTGCCTCCCGTCGACCACTGGGTCTCTCTGGTCGAACACCGGATGCTCCTGGTCGACCACACCTCCCGTCAAGCTACCCCTTGGTCGACGGACCCCTTCCGTTGACCAGAACTGCTCCGTCGACCTCCCGGTCGAACTGCAGTTCGACGGGATGCTCCGTAGACCTCCCCGTCGAACTGTAGGTCGACGGACTGCTTCGTCGACCTCCCGGACGGCTCACCCGTCGCCCAGGCCAGTCAGTTGCAGCTGTCGAGCATCTTGGTCGACAGCAACACCACAGCGGTCCGCTGCCGCTCGACGTAACCTGTCGAGCAGCTATCCCACTGTGAACAGTCGGCTGCTACTCCCGTGCATCCGACCAAGTCGTCGGCGTTGCCCAAGCGAGGGCGGGGCCAACACTCCATTCCCGTTAACAAAGCCGACCATGCTACACGTGGACAACTAGTTGGCCATCACGGTCGCAGAGGGCCTGGGGCTCAAAAACAACCTCAAGCACATGGAGCGACGCTATGCCTGGCTGCAGGAGATGGTGAAGCGCGAGAAGATTGCTCTGCAAAACATCCCAATCACCGAGCAGTCGGTCGATTTTCTGACGATGGCGCTAAATTTTCTGGCTTTCCACTGGTGCAAAGTTGCAATCGGCCTAATGCGTCTGGCCGACGTCGGCAACGGTGATGATGAAGTGCAGAAGTAGGTGCCATGCTCTTTCTGCATGGCTAGTGTGGCGAACAGCGTGCTGTATGTAGTGTGCACGCCAAACGAGTATCCCCCTTGTATTCTATCCCTTCGGGTTCTGGGTGGACCTTGTGTATGGGTGCCCAAGCGTGAGTTGGGCAGGGGAGTGTCGAAGAGAAAGGCCCCGACCTCGCTTGGGCACAACCGATCTCGCCGTCGATGCATTGTCACTCGACGAAGTGGTCGTCGAGTAGGCTTCTGCTGGTCGACGGAGGCGATGGTCGAGAAGGTCCTGCTCGACGGAATTCGGTCGACACCCTCTATGAAAGTCGTTGTTCGACGGCATCGGTCGTCGAGGAGTCCGTCGAGAGGCTCTGCGCGACGAGTCTGTTGACGATCTCCGCGCGACGGGCTCATCTTGACAAACGCTGTTCGGTGAAGTAGCGTTGAACCAGCCGACCAAAGTTGCTCAACTGCGAAGGTCGCAGATGGGCGCGAACTTTGCCTCTGGAGGTTTTCGGCCAAGTCAACCTGCGGAATGGCATCACGTGCTCGGCGATGTACGGCTGGCAAAACCGTTGACACATGTTCTACCTGGCACCTGCGCAATGTGCCTGGCGACGCGATCGTCTATCTGCACCTACTTGGTGGGTGCGCACATGCGCAGATGTTCATCTGGCTTTGCGGCGCCGGCAGACCACTGCGCTGCAACGCTGGCAAAACTACTCTTCTGCAATATTGGCAAGCCGCTCTTCTGTTGCGCTGGCAAAGTTCGCCTGCAGAGAGCTTGCTAGGTGTTGCAATGCCATTATAGCTATATCGATCGCATGCCTCATTATACCCAATGTTCTTGTAAATTTCCTAGTGAAACTCCTGCCGAGTTCCTCTGTGAACACAATTAGTGAGAACGCTAGTAAAATGCTACGATCACCCACACAACCCCATGCTTTCCTCCGTAGTCCACTCCCGTTGTGTAGCGACT